GGCCGCAACTCACCAACACTTACATTATTATCGGGCCGGAATTTACCGGTTTCCAACATCCGCAGCCGATGTTAATAGTACACAAATATATTTATTAATAGAGTGTGTGCAATTGAACATTTCTTATCATTTTCCTAATCACCCGGGCCCGACGCACAGTACGAGTTGTATTATAAGACAAAGCATAATATGTGGTAAACTATTTCCTAGCTATTTTCTAAGTATACAGTTGTTGTCGTTTCATTCCATAATACAATTCAGTTTGGAATAATATTAAATAAGTGCTCAAAATGACGGAATTAAACGTTAAAGAGTGTTGTTTTAATCATTTGTCATAATTTAATAATTTATAATTAAAAACTATCTTATAAAATATACATGTTCGGGCCGCGTACGGACAATAATAGGCCTTGACGCCCGGTCACCAAATATTGTCGTAGCGCTAACACTCACACGCCGATCGACCTGTGTGGATTGTGTGAATCATGTATGCGATTCTAAAGAAGTGGAATGGGGTCACCGAGGATGACTAGAGAGTCCTAGCGTGTGGTGGGTGTATGGGTGTGTGCTTAAAAGTCAAAATAATAATAACACGCGGTTTCTGGTAACTTTGAGTTGCTGTAAATAAAAGGTAGAATAATAATTGATAATACAGAATATAATAAACCACAGCAACAAAAAGCCAAAAGAATATTATAAAATATAATATAATAAACGACAGCCCTTATGGCTGACCAGGGTAAATGGTAATATTATTGCCCATCTGGCCCAACAGAAAAAATTATAATTTTAAAATGCTCGGCCCTTAAGGCCAAACAAAATGAATGATAATAATAAATGTACGGCCTTTTTGGCCCAATAACTCAAGTATAAAACATAATAAATACAACAAATAAAAAATAAAACTCACAGTACGCGGGCGCTCTGCTGACCAGTCGCTACCTATAGCTGCAATAAATAACAAGTAGGTACAAAAAAAAAAATAACGCCACTACGCAGCTACGGCGGTTAGAGGACACACAATTTAATAATAAAAAAGTGCGATTGGCGCACACAATATAAAATATTTGCGATTAATGCATACGAAATACAAAAGATCAGCGATTCACGCACAAAATGCAAACAGTTAAGGTGGCGATTAGCTCCTACAATAATACAATCAATTAAATTGTTTTCTCGTTGACTCGTATACCAACAGAAAAGAATGACTATTTTACCGCAGCTGAACAACAATCGCGCACCTGCGATGCAGTGACGACCGATAACACATGAACGATGAACTTGATCTACTTATAATTCAAACAAAAATAAAATAAGATAAATAAAACTGTGATGTTGTGCGTGTGTGTGTGCGTGTGTCGTCGGTGGTGGAGGCAAGTATGTATATAATATTTGGTGGTGCCTTAACGTAGCGGCTGCAACAATACTAAATAGGTACCTATATAAATATAGCATTAATATTTACTTTAACTGTGCAGTGGTTGCACCACCTACACCTATAATAATTTGATGATTAATATTTTGTACTTAAATGGTCACGGGTTATATAAATAAATCAATACTTCTTTCTTATTTTTGTTTCTCTTTCTTTTGAAAATAAATAATCTGTAGTCATAGAAACATGAAAATGATACAGACTTTAGACTTAAGTCGAAAAACATAGAAAAATTAAATTAGTCAACTATTAT